TTGTGGGGGTCTTATTGGTATCAAGAAGGGGACACCCAGATCCCAGGCCCCCTCCCCATGTGAATGAGTATGGGGTACATGGTTCCGCTACTCATTCACAAAAAAAACAGTGTAGTAGAAAAATGACAGTCTTTGACAAATCTTTTTATTAAAAACAAACATTTTAAAAATGTCCCCCGAAGTAGATCCAATGTCACATACATATAAAACCTTTTTGTGAATTTACAAAAATAAATAAAATAAATTAATTTTAAACATATAATACACAATAAAGTCCCACTAATCAAAATAAAGTGTCCAAAAAGAGAGTCCAAAATAGTGTCCACAAATATCCCAAAATGTATTCTTCACTCTTTTCATCCACTGAACGGATTGGACGGATTGGCTCCTATTTCATCCAAAACGCACCTCAAAGTAAAAAATATAAAAATATCTAGTGCATTACCTTAATAATAATAATAACAATAATCACCCCGTGCAACCAAAATACACTTCAAAAAACCTTTTTGTGAAAAAAAAAAAAGGCCTTGCTCCATCCCTTAAAGCATTCCTCATACGGATCAATAAAAAGTATCCCTATGCTTGGAATACTAGTCCTGAGACCCTTCTTATCTCTCTGAGGACCTTGGAAAAAACTTCTTGGAAGAGAAAGTGGAGGAATATCTTTCCATAGTATTGTTTGAGCATTTCAATACTCATAGAGGGTAATAGTATTTAGTACTACTGTGTGTTGGTTGATGGTAGACACTGAATTGCAGTGACCACAGAGTGCTCACCGTTCGATTTGTGTGATTAAATGCACTATAAGAAGAATTTTTTTTTTTTTTTCACAAAAAGGTTTTTGAAGTGTATTTTGGTTGCACGGGGTGATTATTGTTATTATTATTATTAAGGTAATGCACTAGATATTTTTATATTTTTTACTTTGAGGTGCGTTTCGGATGAAATAGGAGCCAATCCGTTCAGTGGATGGAAAGAGTGAAATAAATTTTGGGATATTTGTGGACACTATTTTGGACTCTTTTTTTTTTTGATTAGTTGGACTTTATTGTGTATTATATGTTTAAAATTAATTTATTTTATTTATTTTTGTAAATTCACAAAAAGGTTTTATATGTATTATTGCACTTTCTAGGGAGAAAGTATTAACTTTTTGAGGGTTTAAAAAGGAGAAGGGTATACATTGATTGAATTAGATCCAATGTCAGTCATGATGCCCGCCACCACCACCGACCCGAAAAAAGAAAAAGAAAAGCTCCACTCTCGACACTGGCTCCCACTGTCTGACAGTTGCACCGGGATGACAGTTCCTTAATAGTTTGATCACGTCACAAGGGGGGCACGCTCCAGTTTTTTAGTAAATCAATCCCTGTGAATGCTCAGTGCCCCCCCCCCGTTTAATGATGAAGGGACTGTCTTATCTAAAGCCCCCTAAGGCTAGGTTCACATATGTGCAGGTGGTGCTGCTGCGGATCCGCACAAAAATCTGTGCAGCCGTACCACCCCACACAGAAGAATGCTGACCCGCGGGTGGGTGCCATTAATTCTAATGGCACACCACCAGCACTGGAAATTGCAACCACACAGGGAACCAAGGTTCCCTTGTGGGCTGCGGTTTCCAAAGAAGTGCAGGGACTTCTTTCCCTGCGTGTCCCGGGGCATGGGAGTCCATTCAAATGAATGGGCTCTCATGCCCATGCAAAACACAGCCTGCAGGAACACGGATATGTGAACTAGGGGTTATTGGTCCCACTAAACCTGCTGGTCATGATTTAATGGCCATGCAGTGCAAGAAGGTTTAGAAAAATCTTGAACTCCATGGATTCGCATTCAACCCATGCCATCAAAAAAACCCCAAACCCATTCTTAGCCATCAGTTTAATTCTACAACTATGAGACTTCATCGAGAGAAAAATGAAAAAAAAAATCATGATCCCTATTTTGTGAAAATGCCAGCTTTTCAGATATTTATATTTAAATTCTAAGTAGGAATAATTTCATTTTAAAATAAATAATACTGCTAAATAATTAATTAAAATAAAAATGAAATAAAAATAATACAGTTCACCTACCGTATGGGGTCCTATCATAGCAGGACTGACGGATAATCTGCAGGTCTTGTAGACACTGTGCTGCTACACTGTACTGTTTTACAGCTCTACCTGCAAAGGTCAACCCAATAAAGGTGTATCCAGATACGTGTGACTATTGTGACGTAAGTAATACTTATAGTTACTCGGTAACAGACTCCACTTATAGGGAATCTAATGGCTGCTGTTTAATTTAAAGCAAATATATGTAGCAATATGTTTAAAACAAAACAAAACAAAAAAAAAAAACCAAACCAAAACCAACAAAAACATAAACCCAAAAAAAACCAAAAAGCAAACCAAAACCAACAAAAACATAAACCAAAAAAAACAAAAATCAAACCAAACAAAAAAACAAACAAAAAAATATATATAGTAGCTTACCACTTTTTTTTTTGTTTTTTTAACCATTTGCCCTCCAGAGGATTTACACCCCCCCCCCCCCCCCCGACCAGGCCATTTTTTGTGATATGGCACTGCGTTACTTTAACCTCCCTAACTGGGGCATTTCTCTCAAAACGCGTTGACCTCTTCATATCATAAAGATTTGGACTGAAACTCCACAAGTGTCATTAACCTCCCTAACGGTATTCCCGAGTGTAGCTCGGGGTAAAATGTCAGTACCAAAAGCGGTAACCCCGAGCTACACTCGGACTTACCATGCGGCGCTGCATAGGGAGTCCCTGCAGCACTTTCCTTGTCCTGCGCTACCGCGATCTTCTGTGTTCCGGTCCCTGTAACGTCGGGACGTATGGGCACCGCCGCCGCGAAATTTGAAAATTTAAAAAAATGTCATTTTTTTCAAAACACATTTTTCATAGTAAAACATTGCTGTTTCAACCCATTTCACATACATTTTGTCCCTACTGCTTTGTCCGCCGCCCTGCCTGCATTTTGAATGTTCTTTCTGCCTGGAAACTGAGAAACGTCCATGGCGTCCAAAAAGCGTCCCTTTAGGTCAAAATCGGTTTTAGACCAGCTAGAGAACAGCGATAGTAAATCAGAACCACTTGCAGAATTGAGTGATAATGATTCGTGGGGGAAATTCCTCATCAGACACTGAAAACGATTCTGCGACTTTGCTCAGCGATGTGCGAACTTGGCGCTATATTTCACATTTCAGTGTTTTCGGTTTGATTATATTATTGAATTAAATTTATTATTATTATTATTATTATGATTATTTATTAAATTATAATTTATGATTTAGTATTTCAAATTTTATCATCCCCGGGATGTTTACTAGACTCTTGTTCGGACAGATTTCAGTGAGTTATTCCTAAATATTACAGCCTACAATAAAAAAAATACATATTTCCATGCAAAATAATGGTACCCGCTTTCAGCACCAAAAATCTGAAATAATCAGACCGCTAGGGAGGTTAACTGACAATTGCAATGAGATTTATGTCCCTTTTTTCCCCACAAGTAGGGTTTTCTTTTCGTGATATTTGATCACCTTGGCGGTTTTTTATTTTTTGCGCTATAAACAAAAGAAAGACCGACAATTTTGAAAAAAAAAAAAAACAATATTTTTTACTTTTTGCTATAAAAAATATCCAATAAAAAATGTAAAAAATTAAATTTCTTCATAAATTTAGACCAAAATGTAATCTGCGACATGTCTTTGCTAAAAAAAAATTCCAATAAGTGTATATTAATTGGTTTACATGAAAGTTATAGCGTCTACAAATGGTGGGATAGATAATGGAATTTAAAAAAATTTTTTTACACTAGTAATGACGGTAATCAGCGACTTATAGCGGGACTTCGGTGGGCATTCTGACACTGGGGGGGAACTGACTTGGTGTCACTGACATCCCCAGTGACACCAATACAGTGATCAGTGCTAATAAAAACCACTGACACTGTACTGATGGCACTGGGCAGGAAGGAGTTAACATCTGGGGCGATCAAAGGGTTAACTGTGTGCGTGTTTTACTAGGGAGACATGCTGTGCAGAGAGATACAAAGCAGCATGTCCTTGCTGGCAGGAGAGAGTCCTGTGTTGTTTACAAACAGACCTCTCCCCTCTCAGCCCTGCCTACAATCACCGAGTCCCGGCTGGGAATTGCTGGCAGGGACCCGGTGATTGACATATCCAGCAGCCAATAGCGTTACAAAATCACATAAGAAATTGGTAATACAGGAAAGCCTATACAGTTGATGGCAATAGGGGATTATATAATCAGAAGGATTGATAGAATAATTTGTCTCCAGAATTGCCTAAACCAAATGGTGCCAATGTTCGGCATGTAGTGGACCAGGTTGATAAATAACTGGGAGGGGCTGAGCATGGCCCAGCTGCAGCCTATTACTTTAACCCCTCGCCTACAGGGCACTTATACCCCCTTCCTGCCCAGGCCAATTTCCAGCTTTCAGCGCTGCCACACTTTGAATGACAATTGCGCGGTCATGCAACACTGTACCCATATGAAATGTTTATCATTTTTTTGAGACAGATAGAGCTTTCTTTTGGTGGTATTTAATCACCTCTGGGATTTTATTTTTTCTTAAACCAACCAAAAATCCCTGAAAATTTTGAAAAAAAAAAAGTTTGTTCTTAGTTTTTTGTTATACAATTTTGTAAATAAGTTATTTTTCTCCTTCATTGGTGCGCGCTAATGAGGCTGCAGTGATGGGCACTGTCAGGCTGCACTGATGGACACTGATAGGTGGCACTGATGTGCACTGATGAGGAGGCACTGGTAGGTTGCAATGATGGGCATTGACAGGCATCACTGATGGGCATTGAAAGGCAGCACTGATACATGACACTGATACATGACACTGATATATGGCACTGTTAGGCGGCATTGACTGGCACTGATAGGCGGCACTGACTAGCACTGATAGGCGACACTGACTGGCACTGATAGGCGACACTGACTGGCACTGATAGGTGGCACTGATTGGCAGCACTGATAGGTGGCGCTGATTGTCATTGATAGGTGGCACTGACTGGCACTGATGGGTGACATTGAAAGGCAGCTCAGATGGGCACTGATATGTGGAATTGATGTGCACTGGTATGCACTGATATGTGGCATTGGTGTGGCACTGATGGGCACTGGCACGTGGCACTGATGGGCACTGGCACTGATGAGCACTGACAGGTGGCACTTCTGGGGCCACACTGATCATCAGGGCACACTGATCATCAGTGTCCTGATGATCAGTGTACATGTCCCCTCCGCGGAAAGCCGATTACCGGCTCTCCTCTCCTCTGTCAGCGTGACAGCTCGAGAGGAGAGAAATGCCGATAGCCCTCATTTCCGTGTTTACATGTGATCAGCTGTGATTGGACACAGCTGATCACATGACCGAGCCGACATCTTCGGCTCTGTGATCCGCTGTGTCCGAGGGACACAGTGGACCGGCGATCGCCGCGCTGCGCGCTCCCTGAGCCGCGCGCTCCCTGAGCCGCGCATGCTCAGTAAGAATGGTAGGACGTCATATGACGTCCTATTAGAACGAGAGAACTACCTTGCGCCCGTCGTTGTACTATAGGGCGGGCGGAAGGTGGTTAAATTAATTCTTAAGGAGCCTCCACCTTTCATGTGTTCTGTCGTTGGTTCCAACAAGAGGTCCATGTTGGAACCAACGACAGAATACATGGAAGGTGGAGGCTCCTTAAGAAATAATTTAAAGAACTAGGCTGCAAGTGGAAGGAAGGGACTTTCTCTGAAATATTACCCGTGCCATGCGCAACACAGGAAAGAAAAAGGGGGGATTACAGAACTGAATGCATGGCTGAAGACCTGGTGTAAAAGGGAAGGATTTGGGTTTCTAGAGCATTGGGCTGACTTCATTGGGGTGTAGCTTCAATGCTAAAGCTGGTTTGCACCTAAATGGAAGGGGGTCTGCTGTGCTGAGGGAGAGGTTCATGGGAAGGTTGGAGGAATATTTGAAATAGGATTGATGGGGGAGGGAGAATTAGATTACAATGGGGCAAACAGGTTAGACAAGGGTCTGGTGGATGGAATGGGTAAAAATGGGAGAAGGGCTATGGCAGGTGATAAAAAGGTTCCCATGTTACAAACAACCATTTGAAAAGCTATTATTGTTATTAGAATAAAAACCACAGTGTTTGTTAACTGTGGCGGAGAAAGCGGAGTCAAAATCATCGGCAATGCTTTTATCTGCTCTCTTTTTAGAAAGATGAACACATCTCTGTCCAGGCATCATCCTGAGTCACCTCCACTTCCCATTCTGTTATTTGCAACCCCAGGTTAAATATTTTTCATGCCACTGACTTGGAACAAGTATGCAAAACAGAAAGGTCAGGAGTCCAACTTTGCGTACTTGCTCTGGGTCCAAGTTTCAGCATTTGAATTATTATTATGCTGAAAACACAACAGCATTGCTGTACAGTATATTGTGACCTGCCTGGCATTTGTCCATGCAGATAGTAACATTACATAAAGGGTCCACCTTACGCAATTTTCATTTTTTACTGATGACCATTGCATGTGCATGTATAGACATAAAATCAAGTCTTCTGCACACAAAGTATTGATGGTCTCTCTGTGTCTCCATCTGAAATGATGATGATATGAAGAGGCTGAGGTGGAGGTTGTCTTCCAACTGTAACTAAGACATCTCAGGTTGGGCATTATGCAAAGATACATGGAAGCCTGCATGAGTAATTTCCTCTGAAATCAATGAAAAGACAAGCTTGCTCAGCACCATTTTACTTTCGCCCTGAAAGGTACAGATTTGCATGTAACATATTCATTTAACTCCCTGAAAGTTTCTGTACACCCTAATATACTTCCAGCAATCTTAGGCTCCCATATATACCAATGAAGGTTCAAGCTGGCCAGCTGCATCCGAGGGAACGCTCTGTGGCCAAGCCCGATTTTACCAACATAATACCACATAGTAAACTTGTATCCCTTTGAGAAGATTTTCCTTCACTTCCTATTTGGTGCGTAAGCAGGGCCCTGGTTCACCTCCAGCAACGGGCATGCTGGCCGAGGTCCCTTCCAACCATCTTCCTGCACAGGAATGAGATGGGGTACCACACTCTGAATTATAGAGGAACTCCATAATAGTCACTCACATGCTCCCAGCCAAAGGCTCTCTCTGGTAGAGACACATTCCCTTTTCTGGGTTACTGTCAACTCCAACTGCATCTTGTCCTTAGCTCTCATCAGTACCACTTCTGCAAACTCCGACAGTCAGAGCATCAATGGGGTACCTGAGGCTGAGGGCACATTTGCTTCCAATTCTGTATTGGCCAGTTGTATTGGCTGGGACTTGTCCAGTTCCACATAGATGGGCTCTGCAATTGAGGAGTCTACCAACCATTCCACTTGTATAGTGGTCTCACCTCCGCCATTCTCCAACCCGGAGCCTCTTTCCAGGTCAGTCTGCATTGCATAGAGAAGCAATAGTCTAAAAAAAAAAAAAAGGTATGTTGTGAAAATGGAAGGAGTTTATTTACAAATTTCATTAGCATGCTGATAGAGTGGGGGGTACCAAGGATGGAAACATACAGTATAAGCAGAATAAACTGCAGCTTTAACCACTTTTCTGCCACCCTAGAGTAGAACTAATGCTACATTATGGCAGGCCTGAGCAAAATCACACACACATATATTTTTGCGCAGGCCTGCCACCCTGTATATATATATATATATATATATATATATATATATATATATGGATGTCAATCACCGGGTCCTGGCTGGAGATTCCCCATCGTCACCCGGCAATCGACTTGTACAGCTGACAAGGAAGAGACCTGTGTGTGTGTAAACACAGGTCTCTCTCCTGCCAGCAAGGACATGCTGCTTTGTATTTCTCTGCACAGCAGTAGTAAAACACACACAGCACATAATGTTAAACAGCGCACAGCACACAGTTAACCCTTTGATCGCCCCAGATGTTAATGCTTTCCTGCCCAGTGTCATTAGTATAATGTTGGTGCTTTTTTATTAGCCCTGATCACTGTATTTGTGTCACTGGGGATGTCAGCGGCAGTTAGTCAGTTCTCCCCCAGTGCCAGAATGCCCGCCGCAGTCCCGCTATAAGTCGCTGATCGCCACTATTACTAGTATAGAACATATAAAGATAAAACTTCCAGTATATATACTGCCATTTGTAGACGCTATAACTTTCACATATTGGGATTTTTTTAGCAAAGACATGGAGCAGAATACATTTTGGCCTAAATTTATGACAAAATGTGATATTTATAATTTTTTTTACTGGACATGTTTTATAGCAAAAAGTCCAAAAGTCAAAAATGTTTTTTTTTTAAATAACGAGGACAGGGGCTACAGACATAGGCCGATTCCTATCAACTGGTGTCGGGAAGTGGGATTAAAGGTGTGGCTGGTCAGGTACACTGAGCCAGTTTTAGTTTTACCTGGATTGTCACTATTTAAGACCCAGGGATAGTAGCCCAAGTTTCCGTTTGAGATTGTTGGATCTCACAGGGAGTCTTTGAGGTTGGACCTCAAAAGGAATTCAGAGGTGTAATATTTTGAATTCACAGAAGTCCTCATATATTTTTGCCATTTTAGAAGTATAAGTGCTTATTTGCTGTATGTTAAGAAACTGTTGTGTATTAATTTTGTTACAGTATGGGGATATTACAAGGTCCGTACTTTTAAGTGTTAAGCTCCTGAACTATTGGGAAGCCTTTGTTGGCTCTACAGCCTCTCCGCTTCAGAGAATAAGTATTGACACTGTAATATTTATTGCTTTGCCTAACAGCGGTTAGATGGGTATATCTAAGGTGAGAGATCTCTACCCAAACATTTTTAAGCTTTTGCGTAAAGTGTTAAGTGATAATTGCAAAAAAAAAGAAAAAAGACAATAAATCCTGAATTGTCTAGGTTAACTTGTGAGGGTTTACCCCCCACCATCTGCTCCAACAAGTTATACAAAAGTATATTCAGCTTTGCCTAAAAGAGAGGATGATTTTTTTTTCTCCTTAGACCTTCAAGGGCAGACAGACCATCATAATCTCCCTTAGTTCAGGCAGAAAAACACAGAGTCCTGACAGTACAGAAAGGGAGAAGGGAGGAGGAGAAGAGAGCCATACGAGACAGACAGTGTTCACAACACACATGAAATTATAATTGACGGAATTTTGGGATATGACATGGACTCAGGGTTTAACTGGACAAAGGTGTCTACAATATAGGTTCTAGTTGATTCTGGAACCCCGGCAGCCACTCATGTATGGCTGAAGGAAGACACTTAGAGAAAGGTGTGGGAGTAGGTGACAGCCGAGATGGAGAGAATATGAAAGAGTAGGAAATCGTTAGCAACTGCTGTTGCTTGTAAGAAAGGAATAAAAGAGACAGTGACAGAGTATGTGAAAAGATTTAGAAACGTTTGGAAGGAAGAAGATGGAATGGATATGGCTAGTGCAGAAATGGGCAATCCTGGACAATTCTTCTGGCAGTTGTGGCTGCAATCTTTCTTGGTCTACCTGACCTTGGCTTGGTATCAAGAGATCCCCGAACTTTCCACTTCTTAATTGATGATTTAACAGTACTGATTGGCATATTCAAGGATTTGGACATCTGTTTTTGTCCTTTTCCATCTTTATAAAGTTTCATTACCTTGTTACGCAGGACTTTTTGACAGTTATTTTCTGATCCCCATGGCTCAGTATCTAGCCTAGTCAGTTCTTCCATGTAAGAGCTAACCAACTCATTGACTATTTATACACTGACACTAATTGCAATTTAAAAAGCGACAGATGTGGGGGGCCTTAACCTCTAATTGGCATTTTAACCCGTGTGTGTCACCTTGTGTGTCTGTACCAAGGCCAAACATTCCAGGGGATGTAAACTTTTGATCCACTTGGGTGATTTCTGTTATCAATATGATTTAAAAAGGAGCCAAACAACTATTTGATAATACAGGGCTTCATATGATCATCATCCTTCAATAAAAGAGCATTTTGTGGCATGATCAGTCATATTTTCAATATCAATGCCAAAACTTCACAATTTCTGCCAGGGTATGCAAACGTTTGAGCACAATTGTATATATATAAACCTTGATGGTAGGATACAGACCTGAAATGTTGCTGTTAATAAGACAGATTATTTCAAACTGGACAGAGATGGATGTAGGTATGTTTGAAAAACAAGTGATGGAGAAAGATGCCGCTGGATGTTTTGAAGTCCCCAAATCTGCCAACAAAGCACATTTTCAGGAGTTACAACATAGTTATAATCATAGAGAAAGAGGTAGCAACAGAAATTGGGGACAAGAGTAGAACATGAACAATCAATTAGTATCACTGGGACATGTGCCAACACCTGCGAAACACCCCATTGAGTATTTCAGACTCACACGGGAAAGGTTCCATAGTGAAACATTCTTTCAAAATCATCAGGATGACCTGTGAAGTTT